TGCTTTCACAGACACACACACGCAGATATTTGTTCACTCGGCTCTTTCTGGACTGCTGATTGAAACCGCCAACGTGCTGATGGGTCTGTCAGCACAGCGGAGTTTGGGGGCAGACTGAGCGAGGTGATAATGTTGTGACAGGTTATTAGACAGGACTTGTGATAAACAGACTCTCCTCCATTCAGAAGGAGCGAGTTTACAGTACCTCAGAGGGGAGACGAGAAAAGTAAAGACAAACAATAGGGGTTCCTTGCCTCGGCCTCCCTGCGCTTGTCTTCTGCAGGTGTTTTCAGGCTTTTCGCCGCAGTAACTCACTCCTCTACAGAAGCTCCTTCTTTAGCCCCTGTCTCCCCTGGAGATAAAGTACAGACACCCCACTCTCCCTGTCTCTTTCTTTCAGCTAACTCCTGAATAATCCAGCAACAATACAAGGCTCAGAGGGCGGTGTGCAGCGATTCGCCGGAGGCCTGACTTGTTTTGGGGTGCACCACGGGCAGTAGAGGGGGGGGCGGCATTATGGAGATCAGCTAATGCATGTAAAACACTGCATCCATTTTTTTATTTTTTTTTATTAGAACAAGTGGTAAAGAAAAAGTGTATGGCACAATAGAGGCTTCGGAGCGCTACGCTTAACCCACCACACCTGGAGCACACAACAGGGGGCGAGAGTGGCAGCCCACCTCCCCCCTCCTGCCTCACCCATCATCACCAGCACCACAGCACCTATCAATACAAGCTGTAAAGAGTTTGGTTGGGCTTTGGGAGGAGGGAGGGCTGCCTGTATTCACGGCCTGACTATGATAAAGACGCACAGTGAGGAGCCATTCAAAAGCCCTGTGCCTATAATGGAGTCACTAATAGGTGCCTATTCAGCAAGAAAAGTGTTTTCTGGAGGAGAAAAAAAAAGTTTTGGGGAAGCAACAATCACTTTGTCTGCTGCCTTGTGTATGTAAAATTTATGCAGCGCTCCACCCCTCCACCCTTTTCCAACTCTTTTTGCTGTCTTTTTTTCTTTCTTTAAAGAGCGTCACCAGTGAATAGACGACATGCATAGTTTGGAGTCTTCCTTTCATCCTTACTTGAAAATAAATTGAATGGTCTGTTCTCGAGTGAGTCCAGTCCAGCGGCAAAAGGATCTCAAAACAGGAATACACACACTGTGTTTCACTTCCCTCTCTCCGTAAAACTGTTATCTCCATATTCACAGGTGGCCAACTTGTACTGAAAGTATCTGTTTTGAATGGACACTTTATCACACATTAACAAAATAATGTATATAGTTCTGCCTTATGTATCTCTGTCAGGATTCATAATATACATTTATGTAGTGATGGAAAAAAAAAAGAGTGTAAAAATATCACACAGATTAAATTTTCGATAAAGACCAAAACAACATCAACAGCTCATTCTAAGGTAACGAAAATGTCTTTATTCATGTGATTACATACTAATGCAAACATACTATGATATTATATTCCATTTATGCCAATAGATCATCCGAAATGTTACACACTGGAACATTTCAAACTGTCAAAAGATTTTAATCCGAATGCTAAATCCTGAATAGTGGAAGTATGCGACTTCGCCTTTTTCCAACACAACACTGCACACTTAAAACCAATGTGAAGAGCACAAAGAAAAATGTAAAATAACAAAAACTGTCCTTACTACTGGCAGAAAATTGTGTTTGTTTAGGACCCAATTGCTCATAGTAGAAGCAAGAAGCTAATCAGGACCTTTTAATACGTATTTAATGTTGAATTAATGCATCTGCATGATAAAAACTACCCATGCAGGGAACCACAGATACCAAAGTCTGACACCTAATGTGTCAGGATGATTTAATGAAGCTTGATGTACATTGATCTTAGAACCTGTTGCAATTAAACATGTTTGTCATGTTTAAACTTCCGTTTGGAGCTTAAAAACAAGCTTTCACCCAGATCTGATCAATGTTTGTCATGTAATAACACCATGTAGAGAGATTTAAATTCATTAAATCTCTGTCTGCTGTTCATGCCTGAAAGCTGCCATCACTTTGCTTCTAGCAACTATATTTGCTGCTGACTCCCCGCTTGGTCCCGAGGCACCAGGGGAGCAGACCCTCGTGGGTGAGCTGACTAATCTTGAAATGCTGGAACCATATTGAAAGAGAGGGCCTGAACTGAGAAATACTGGGACCATATTGTGCTACGTGTCAAAGGGCTTAGCTGACAGATTGATGAGATGAGGAAATAACGGAGCTAACCAGGGGGCGGGAGTGGAGGAGGGGGGGGGGTCCCAGCATGGCATGGCAACCAGGGTTTGGAGTCAGAGCAGGACTCCCCGCAGGCCTGCCGGGCAGATCCAGCGCAGGTCAACGCTCTTTGATTCTGGGTCCCGCGGCCGACAAAGGGCAGTACGCAGTGGGCTGGGCTGCTTTCCTTAGAGCTGCATGAAAGCTCTTGTAATTGTATTTTTATGTGTTTTGTGAGAGGCTTTGTCAGCTTTAGTGTGCTGATGTATGTGTTTATTTGTGAATGTGAAAGAATGTACATTTGCAAATATATTGCAACCAGGTCTGTGTTTTTTCACTATTTATATTTAGTCTAATAGAGCAAACAGATTGAAAATTAATTACATTTTCATCTTGAAAAGCAAGTATAATTTTACTTGCTCTAAATGTTGCCAGTGTTGCCAAATGTTGTTGTCTCAACCAGAAGTTATATTAGCTGTTAATTACCAATAAAGTGGTAGAGAAAGTATTCTTTAAACCTTTTTTCAGCCTAACGGAGAGAAACAATTCAAAATGAAATCAAATGTAATCAATATTTTATCTTAAAGCAGCAAAGCATTTTTGTCTTGATTGTGGTGGCTCCTTTGGACAAAAACTGTAGTGTTTATATCGCCTTGTTTCATTGATTTCAAGGAGAATCTGACAAAATCAAACCCGGTGGTAGGTATTAAGAATTACTATAGAAATAGCCAGTCTACTTGCTGATGTTTATGTAGTGCATATAGAGGAATCAGACGATTTCACAACCAGTTTAAAAACTCCTTGTAGTAGATTTAACAATGGATTACTTGTTTGACAAATGACTACTTGTACATAAAAGGAGGTGCTTGTAGTGATGAACGCTGCAGTTTTAGAGTCTTTCAGCTCATTGTTTTGGTTTTACAGCCCACAAACAACTGTTTTGATTCACTCTGACCCCTCATCGTTTGGAAGCAGCAGACAGACGTTTTCAGCAAAAAAAAAACCTGTAAAAACCTGCTGTACTCTACCAGATCAGCACCAAATGGCAATGGCAGACAGAGTTGGCAAGTAGCTGGTGAACAGAATGTACAGAAGCTGAAGAAACAGATATTTTATGAGGAGTTGGTGGAGACCAAAAACATAGTTAAAGAACAGTAAATATTGGACATTCATCAGGTGGATAGACAATGGTATCTGCTGGATGTGTAAATACAATGCAACTGCTGGCTCACAACTTATGTGTTTACACAGTCCCTGTCCACCTAATGACCAAAAAAAGCTCTTAATAGCTTTTTAAAGTTTTGTCTCTACAGGGAAAATGCACATTGATTAGCATCACTGTAAGTGTGCCAGTGTTAGCCAACTGTTGTCCCTCAGCTAGACTTCATGTCATATCAAAACAAAAGAAAACAGTTGACAATGTCAGTGAACAGTGAGGATTAAAATCTAAAGAATAGAGTAAATCAAGAGTCATACATAGTATTCACTACTAGGTAATAATGGTAATGCTACCAGATTTTATTGTATTTGATTAATCAGTTCAATTAAAAAAGCAGTATTAAAATATTTTGAAAAGAAAAATAGGTTTGCATCATAACTAGTAGTTCTCTTCATAAAAAAAGCATTCACATTTGTGCCACAAAAATACTGCCATTTCCAACCTTACTTCCCCTCACACAATGCATTTCTGGCAGTGTCTTAGCAACTGGTATTGTGGCATCTGGATTATCCAAAAAGCAGTGCAGATCTCCCGTAGGGCCAAACAGAGGGAGACCTCAGAGTTCTTTAGGAAGGGAGATGTAAAGGAGAGGTTGATCTTGATCTCAGATGGTCCCAAGAAGCTTTATTACATCTCACAAGTTATGCTATTATGGTCAGAGGATCTTGTGTTTCTTCCTTTTTTCTTTGTCAGTTTTAGAGACATTAAACAAAGCAGATTTTACTTTTTGCAGATTCAGGTTTTGCAAAGGACAAATTTCTTATGATTTATAAACTTATAAATCTATAAAAAGTTTAAAAGATTTATTTTATGTAGCTGACGTGGGACATGGGTTGTAGGTGTTTGGTCTGGTCACCATGGAAAACACTGACTACAGCTTACTCGTCCACAGCCCTTGTTAATATTACACCGAGACCGTATTTGGTAGGTTTTTCCTGCACTACAATACTGAAGATAAAGAACCTCAAACTCAAGTCACACTCTAGATAATAAGCTTTGATTGGAGATACAGATAGAGGGCTGTTCAGAACATGCACACACACAGAAGCACATACACCCTCCACTGAGCTCTGATTTGTGGAATTGATAGGGTCCATTGTTTCCACAGAGCTTGCCACTATATGCCCTGTAATGTAATTAAGGCCAGGAGATTTATGCTGCTGTATAGCAGCCCAGAACCTGATCCATGTTGTGTCTGGAGTCGGGCTGAAAAGCCCTCTCTCTGTCCAGCTGGCCCTGATTTCTGTTCTGGCCTCTGTCACTGTGCTGTGCTACAGTCCTGTCTACTTCTTAATTGAAAGCTTTGGTTTATTGTAGGCCTTGTTTTTGTGTTTCATGTGGAAGGAGCACAGGGTTTAAGTTTATTATTTCCCTATAAAATTGTAGCAAACTCAGAAAGGAATATTGTCTTGTGTATTTGCTTTCTTGGGAAACTAAGTGCATGAGAGAGTTGCTCCAGTCTAGCAGGATGGTAATTATTAACAGCCATAAGCTATTTAAATAGAGTGCATTTTTTTAGCCTCCCACAGAGAGACATTGCTCAGTTCCTCCGCCCTTAAATCACTCAGCTACAAAGCATGAAGGTATATTATTGAAAGAATACTTTGGCGAAATGGCAGTGTGTTCTTGTTACTGCAGGGCTTCAGTGGTAAAATGTTGACTAAGACGAGTAAACTAAAGGACTAGAGCTCATTGGACATGTCTGCTGTCGAGAGAAGAGGAGCTCCAGAGCCTCACTGGGAAAACAGTCCTTCCAGAAATCAGGATTTCAAGCGTCATCGGAGGCTTCTGGCTCGGCCCAGGCATCCCGTCAGCACGAGCACCTGGCCGCCTGACGGCTCCCAGTCTGCACACCACGCGCACAGGGTGAGTCCATCCATGCCCACCCAGCTCTTCCTAAATCCACAGCTGAGAGGCCTGCTGCCGCCACCGCCCACAAGTCCAATATCCCAAATGAAAGACACGTCAAACGCTGCTGAATGAGCCCCATGTAGAGAACATGAGAGAGAAGATCTGTAAGACCCGGAGCATCTGTCCACCTCTCTGACACTAATGAATGTTAAGTAGGTTAGCTGCTGGTGTGCCACTGTCCCACAGGTCATTGTGACTGGTGGTGGCAGTGGGGCTGTGCTTTTGTCAGGGTGCGCCAACCCCCTGTGAGACATCTAAAATGGCTGGACCGCTTACTCCTGCACACAATCCAAGCACCAATAGTCGCCATATTGATCCCCCTTGCTTGCAGATTAAAGCATAAAAGGACCTCTGTCCTGCCAGTGGGGGTCCCCACTGACTCCCAGAGCTCATTTCAGGGTCACAGAGTCCTTGCAGCCCCCTGACCCCGGACCCCAACGTGAACACACATAAACACCGGTGTGAGGCAGGACAGAAACCTTTCCAGGGATGAACCCCATTAAACAGGATTGGTTGGATGCTCACATTCATGGCTCATTATAGCTGACCCCGGGCTTTCTCTCTCTCAATCTGGGTGCTCTCCTATTCTGTCTCTGCTTCTAACCTGGCCAAAACCATGCTGAGGTGGTCACCCTCGCCTTTTGTTTGCCATTGATAGCTCGGCCGTTTGCTTGATTGTTTTCTGAACTGGATCTACTCATCAGTTGTGTTACGCTGCATTGTCGAGTTCCTGTGGCGTGCTTTCAAAGTTTTGTCTGAGCTTTAGAAACTGTGTCGCTCTTTTGTCTCAAAGTTAGTTGGTTTTGGGACAAATCCGGCTGCTGGTTTATGTAATGCAATGTGAAGTGCCACTCCCATTTCTTCAGTGGCCGACTTGAACACATTTCCACTGTGAGTGAAAGCAGAGATGTTTGGGTTATCACGGTTGGCAGTTGCAGACAGATGAAGGTAGTCTGTGTAAAGTGGAAGTTATTTGTTCTCAAAGCACTAGTCTTAAAATTGGTAACGACAAAGGGACGTACTGCTTCTGTCCGACGAGCACAGTCTCGATGTGAAAGAACTGTGTGGAGTAGTTAATTAAACCCAGCAAAATTGGTCTTGCTCATACTCTTGGCCCAAATACAGCGATGAATTACGTTCCAGAGGTTCTCCAGATATGTCGAGAACCTGCCAGATATGGCCTATGACATAGCCTGTGACATAGCCATATCTCAGCCAATTGAATGACCATAGCTGGCCCTATTCTGGCCCAATGTTGGACCAGACAATTTTCAGTAATCTTTCTTTTGGTTGTTTTCAGCAACTGTGTTGAGTGTTCAGACTTAAATTTCCTTATTTAACTACTTGTCTACATGTCTATCTCAAATGTAAATGGGCTGTGTGGGCCATCCTTGGGCAAGATCAATTTCTATGTGCATTTGATGGAGATTTAAAGGCTATAATCAGTGTTTTTAACAGTGTCTTAAATGTAAAAACTATATGAAAGGATTTGTTTAGATGAATTTGCAACGAATTATCACCAAATTCTGTGGCTCCCCTCGGCTTTACATAACTTTTTAGTGGGTTTCATTTTGTTTTTCATTTTATGAGCTACTACTTTACATTTAAGTTCCTTAAAAGTGATTTTTTTTTACATACATTACAGTGTTATATGCAGATTTACGAGAGGTACCACCGCAGTATGACCTGGATTTGTCCGTATGTGTGTTAGTGTGTCCTTGGTGCTGACCTCACCAGGATGCAGCTCTGATCTGTTGCTCTCTGTTCAGTGCCTGCTCCCTTAATTAAACATTGATTAAATGCCTATTAATGCACCCTGACTCACAGACAGGGTGTAATCAGGTGAAACAGAATTAATAAAACATCCAGTGTAGAGCTCAGGAGAGAAGGAAGGGCTCCCCTGAGAAAGACAGACAGATGGCAACAGGAATCGCCAGAGAGCGGAGAAAGCAGAGTGGGAGAGGGGATAAAGCAAAGACCAGCCACCACTTTGGTGATTAGCTCTAAATTGGTAATTTGATCTAGCCCATTCCACCTACTCATTATTGATAAGACTGACCATATTTGACCATATTTCCCCCTGCTGGTTCAGACCGGCACCACAGCACTTCCTGTCTGCATGAGTCCTACCAGCCCACGCCGCTCTGTGCTCAATGGATCTGACAGGAAGTACCTTGAGGTGGAGTTTGTGTGGAAAAGGGGGGATACACGCTGTCAACACATGCACAGTGGAAATCCCATCTGCTAGGAATCTCTCTAATCTCATCATCTGAATTGAACAAGGAAAAGAGGAGCAGCAATCACTTTAGACAAACCCTATATGGGATTATGTGCTGTACTCGCGGTGATGGGTCAAACGATGACATCAAAGACAGAAAGAGGCCATTGACTGATGCATTTTGGTTTGAACTAATAAAACACTTAGCTTTGTTTTTGGCATGGTTTTTTACAAATTAATGTTATTTCGAGTTTCATTTATTTACTTTTATGTGCACTTTAAGGACCTTTCACCCATGTTGAGTGAAAAGTTGAGACTGAACATGCATTCTTGGCGTTGGAAACAGAAATGTTTATTTACATTTTATTGTAAATTTTCAAATTTCTATTTTCCTGTAACATTAAAGGACTTGATGCTCTGACAAGGGAAATTTTAATCAATGAAAAACTATTATTGTGATACCTTCAAATGCTAAATATTCTTTGACTGTTCTATGAAATACCATAGCTAGTTTCATAATCTGTAATTGACCATTTGCAAAGCTGTGCTCCTTCTTCTGCCAGGCCCTCCATTCTATACAGAATAATAACAATGGGTTCTTGATTTCAGACAGTCGTAGACAAAAGCAGGCTTCTCATTTCTAAGTGTTAGCCGTTCATTTTGCTGGCTAAAATTACAACTCACTGGCAAATTTTAAAGATTAATTAATTTTAATTTTAAATTTTTTAAAGATATAGCCAGGTAATTAAGCTCATGTTAGCTCCATGATTTGGTTGAAAATACAAATCCAGTGGAGGCTAATATGATAGCATTCAGTACAAGCTTCCACACAGTAAAGGAATAATACACAATGCATGTACTATGATGATGATTTTTTTTTTTTAATTATAGCTTGTTACAGCGCAAAATGCAGTTAGCAAATGATATGCTCTGGTGTTGGTTAATGCTGGGTCATGTTACCACACTAGGGAGCAAGCACGTTAGCCACTTTAGCACTGCTTTAACTTGTTTCTAATAGTGAAAATATAGTTTAAATAATAAAAATAAAAAACCTTGGTTAAGCATTTTGATAGCGTTACCTCTCCTCAACCAGCTTTTAGAGACTCATTTTTGAAAGATTTATAATGACTTTCTCCAATTAAGGAGAATTTTTTTATTTTTTTTCCTCATTCATTTCTTTATTTATCTGGCTACCTTCCTTTGCTGTATTTTCTGTTTCAGTTAACATAATTTTTCCACATGGTTGTCAAAGGGCAACCCAACCCCCAGCCACTTCATTCTTTACTGTCTCAAAATGTACTTGATTTCACATTCAGCATATAATTAGTAACAACAAGGTCACTGGGCCGCAAGCACCCGTGATTTACTGGGAAATTGGTTGTTGTTCCTCGTCGGTTCATTATTCGGCTGCAATTAGGGCTTCTATTAAGGATGGAGAGCTTCTGAGGTATTTCTGGCGTAATGTGCATAATCATACGTGATGTGCTTTGTTAAATACAACAGGTACTGCCTAAATGAAGCCAATAGACAAAGGCGATGAGATGGCCAGACCTACGCTGCCCTCTAGCCTCTCATAGTGGCACTGAATGGGCTCGAGAGTCTAGCACAAGCTAGCAAAGGGCTCCACACCAGTGCACTCCAAAGAAAAGGGAAGCGCACACATGTATACACACATCAAGCTCCATTGTCCTCCCACCCTGCGAGCCCCTCTCGCCCTCTGTCACCCACTCTGGTCTGGGGTTACAGCCCATGAATGAGGGGGTGAGTCCTGGGAGGATCTGCTCTCTTGCTCCCTGGAGTGGACCAACTCTGGGGCTGACTCAGTGCTTCTGGGAGCTGCCAGGAGCTGCAAAGAGAGATGGATGAGTTGCTCTGCCGACTGCTGGGCATTGGCTGGTGATGTGTCCCCAGTGATTGATGAGTTAACACAGCGCCCCCTTGCTCCATGGGTCAAACTGATGCTCCCTTACCATTAAAACCACCATACTGTCCTGAGGAAGCGACACGTTAAAAAGAAAGGGGAAAGAGATAAGTAACAGATGTTGGAAAGTGGCTGCGTGGGAGAGCAGACTCCATCATTGAGTCTTCTGCTGTAGCAGCTAAAACCACTGGAAGGTTTCACAGCAGCTCAATAATCAAGACAGAGGGGTTATTAATGCACTGGTGGGGGTTTAAATGTCTCTGGAGAGCCCTCTCACTGTGTGGCTTTATATTTGTTTTGCCAGGCTTCAGTCATTGTTCTCAGCCTGGGGGCCCACAGAGCAGGAGATTGAGCTACTGAAAGAAGTTCATCTCTGAACTCTTTTGACTGATCAATCTCAATCTGGCTCTGATCAGTCTGTTTTTAAACATAAACATGTACCTGTGCCCTCGTTATGTAATCAATATGTTTTTTTATATTTGTCTTCTTTTCTTGCAGAGACCCATTTATGTGTCTTTTGTCAGCAAGGCCATCTTGTGGGATAGAGGACTCTGCCACCACACTGTGAGTGCCCCAAATACCATTTGAACTTAATAGCAAGAAAGGAACATGAACAATGGTCCTCATGCAAGAATGTTTTCATTTTCCTATCCTAAATCTCTCTTACTTTTTTCTTTTCGTGAGTTTTCCAAGTTGGATTCAGTAAACCCTCGAAACCACACAAACTTTTTTGACTTGATCATGAACATAAACGACACCACTAAAATGCTTTAGGCTACCTGTTTGCACTTCAAAATGCAGAGTCTGAAGTCCTGC